ATTTATTATTTATTATTTATTATTTATTATTTATTATTTATTATTTATCATTTATCATTTATTATTTATTATTTTTATAATTTATTTATTTATTATTCATTATTTTTTATTTTTTATTCTTTTTTTATTATTTATTAATCATTATACAATTTAATTTAATTTAACTTTAATTTATCTTAAATTTATTATTCCTTTATTTCTGTAATGTATAATATTTATAAATGTTAATCATTTTCCATCACTCATTATTCATTGCCTTATTTATTATTATTATTTTTTTAAGCATTTAGCTATGAATTATTATTCATTATTCATTGCTTTTTGCGTATTATTATAACTTATTTATCATAACTTATTTATCTAATATATTTTATAATTAATTACTTCTTTTCAATATTCATTAATCATCGATATGCCGTTATATAAATATTTATTTTAAATTATATACCATTTATTATTCATTATTATATGTGTCAATATTTTGTATTTTCTGTTTTACTTTATTTTCTATTTTCTGAAAACTTTTTTTTTAATATTTAAAAAGAAAAAACGTTTGAAATATCTTTCGCTTAATTTGCATAAGCCTTGCCTGGGAATCGAGGGCCCGCAGCTCTCGATCGCTGACGATTGGGCTACTGCGACAACTCATCTCGTATTTAATCAATGTAATTTATATACAAAATAATGTGACGCCTGCCTGAGCAATGTAATGCGAGGCGCGTAAATGCTGATTATATTGTAGTAGTAGTATTATTACCCAATCACTCATAACTCAAATGGCGCGCATAAAGCTTACTTAATAAATAAGAAGAAAATGCATTCCGCAGCTAAACACTCGAAAGCAAATCTCCGGCTCGCTGCCTTCTCTCGATTGTTATGCTAATAGTGCGTACGGCTCTTGTTGAGTGTTGTCAAATATGCAACAAAAGTGTTAACAATGCCATCAAAAATATTCAAGTTATTTACACTTAAACAAATTATGTATGCATGTACATAGAAATGATGTGGTTACGGCAGCCCTGGTTGACAACTAATGCTCAATCAAACACACGCGACGTATACTTAATAATTTCAATGTTTGCATAAACCAAACACTCACTCTGCCATATAATGTATATGGACCGTATTTATATTTTTTATTTGTATATATAGCCAGCATTACGGCCAAGCCTCTGAGCCACTTGACTGACTTTGACGTCTGCTGTGGCTGACTGTGTGGTGCGACCGCAATCGCCGTCGCCGCCATCAACGTGGGCAGCTGTTGATTGTCTTTTTGACTTTGGCGCCACAGAATTGTTGCCAAATACACAACAACAATAATCATACTAATAATAATATGAGAATGCAGCCGCCTAAAGAGAATCACATTTTGTGGGTCAACTAGTTTGGGCTGATCGTAGATCGAAGAGGTTTGCCTGGCGGCGCATCGTTTTGCAGTTGGAGCCAAAGAATTTTAATGGTTTTCAAACGTTCCCAAGACCCAAAACTCACTCGCTCGCTCAATCAGTCAAACATTTGCTCATTCCATCATTCCCTCACTTATACGTACTTCGTGCTTGTCAGTTTCAGTTCGTTTTGCTTTATTTCGAACTATTTTATTTTGGGGTTTCTTACTCTCGTCTTATTTTTCCTTTATTTTTTGTATTTTTTTTTGCCCAATTGCCGTAATTATTTTGTCTCTCTAACACGAATTTAAATCAGCAACTGTCCCACGGGCCATTCGACTGGGGCCCTTTTACTTGATCTACACCATATATATATATATATATATATATATATATATATATATATATATATGGCCAAACGGCTGGCAGCTGACAGCCCCACCATAATTATTCAGGCACACAGCTGCTCCACAAGCACGGCCAGCGCCGGATGAGCATCAACTTCAACTTTAACTTCAAGATACAGATACACAGTTACACAGACATAGATACAGATACAGCTACAGCTACAGCTACAGCCAGAGCCAGAGCTTCGGCTAGATCTGTGCAGCTTAATAAATCAATGGCTAGTGGTGTGGCGCGTATTAAAAGTGGTGCAGTGGGTCAACAGCTGGACGCAGCTGCCAAGCACCGCTAGCCCCGCTGGTCTCTTAATGGCGCTGCTGCCCATAGTCTACAAGATTTCAAGTCTTTGGCCCAAAGTTTCCATTTCCCTCGACCAAATTGTGCGCGTGTTAAATAAATCACTTGATGGAGTGCTAAGCAGGCGCCCTCAGGCTCTGGGAAAAACTATTGAAAGATGAAGTTCTGCAGCAACAACAGCAACAACAACTACAACAACCACAGCAATTTCGCCTGACTATTAAGTTCTAATGGGTGTGGCAAACGTTGCGTATGCGCTATAAAAATAGTCAAAAAGTCTTTAAAATACCTTACCAAATTATCTAATTATCATTGATGTATCTTTGTTAGTCGTAATTTTTTTCCTATTAACTTTTTCCCACGTTTGTATATTAATTGTCTCTAGTCGCGCGTAATACGTGGCGTATGCGTAATAAAAATAAAGCTATTTAAAACCTTTAGCTCTTAGCTCTCTCGGCTTCGACTTTATATTCAATTATTTTTCAGAACAAAAGCAAAGCGTTATTAAATATTTACAACAATTAACAATTTACAATTCGTTTGGCTTTCACTATTCGAAAAGCTAGATTATAAAGAAAAAATTATGTGTGTGCATTTCACATTCAACTAAAGCGCATCTGAAGCAAATTGTTAATTATGATTACGAAATGTTTGTTTGTTTATTTGTTTTCGTTTTCCTTTTTTTTTAATTAAATATATGAAGTTTGTTTTTAATCAAAAATAATATACCTTCTATATGTCTCTCTCTCTTCGTGTTTCTAAACCTTTATTTCTTTGTCTCTCTCTCTCTCTCTCTCTGTCAGTAACTCGCTCTATCTCTCATTCTCGCTATCTCTATATTTATCATTCTCGCTTTCTTTGTCTCTCTCCCTCTATTTCGCTGTATCTCTCTCTCTCTCTCTCTCTCCCTCTCTCTCTCTCTCTCTCTCTGTGTCTCTCTCTTTCTGTTTCTACCTCTTTTTATCTTTGTCTCTCTCTCTGTCTTTCTCTTCCTCTGTGTCTTTCCCTCTCTCTCTCTCTCTCTGTATCTCTCGCCTTTTCCAAAATTCCTTACGCACATTCCTGATCTCCCTCTATCACTTCAACCTCTTAGCCAGTGTTGTTAAGCAAATTTCTAACACTCTTCAGCTCTTAATGTCAGCTTCAACTTATCAACTTCCACTTCTTTCTCTCCCTCTCTCTCTCTCCCTCTCTCAATTCTCTCGCACAGTTTCCATTCTAATATCACTTTCAGCAGATGTCAGCAAGTGTCAGCTGTCATGTGCTTAATTATGCTCAGCTTCACTTTCAGCTAATGTCATTGAGCATTAATTGCCGCCAGCTTTTACTGTTATCCACTTCCAGTTCCAGTTACTTCAACTTCTTCTTCTTCTGCTTCATTATGCTAATGTCACTTTC